AAGTGTTGATTTTGAGTGGGCTGTGAGAGATGTAAAATGGTGGGTCCATGTTACTTTCTATTTTATTTCTTATCTTTCTATAATTGGCTCATATGTTCTGTTCCTGCTCTCACAATGCACCCCTTTATCTTTAAGTTTCATCCAGTTAAAAAAAAACATTCCTTTTTCTAGACCTCCATATGTGTGTAATATATCTCCCATACCCTCACAGTTTTACAAAATCTCTGTTTTACAAAAGCTCATACTGCAGTAAATCATTCTGACTTTAAAATTCCATACAGCTCTTTTCTCTGTTGGAATTAACAAGTTTTCAAAACATCCTTTGTGTTTTTTGATTATATAGCATAACACGCCATTTGTCAATATGCATCAGCATAAACCATAAAATAAATTCTGTACAGACAGATTTCAATATATCTCAGTTCCAAATACAATTGAAATATATATTTTTTTAAAAAACAATACTATGCAACTAAAACCAAGAAACGGCACTCTGGAAAAATCAATTTAAAATAAACAAATCTTTGCTTCATCACAGTCTGGTCTGTGATCTGTTTCCATGCTTACATTGTAAATCACATGAGTGTTGCTGTTTGTTACCACTCTAGTGATTGCTTTTGGGTCTTGATGGACTGAAGACTTCTATTCTTTTGCAAGCTCTCTTTTGGCAAGCACTAAGAATGTAGAATTGCTGCCAGGAATGTCTCTCCGCAGTTCCAAGCTTGCTTGCATAACTCACGCTTGTCACATGCAAGCACTACGCTGTGGGTGTTCATACTAGAGGGCAAAATGCTGTGTGTTCCAAAAGAATTCCTTCCCTTCTTCTAAAAGTAGAGCAATTGGTGATAAGGACTCACGTCAAACCATTTGTGAGGCCCCAGGCAAATTGGTAAATAGGTTTGCACTGTGAGACTGGAGAGCCGGATTTTTGGAAGGAATCAAGGAAGCTTTCCTTCATTTTATGAAAAAATATTAGGGCAGGAAGTTGAAATCTAATAGTGGTGTGGGAGAGATTTGGGGAACTGCAATAAAGAGTTTGGAGGCTCTAGGGCAGGGGTCTTCAAACCTGCCCTTTTATGACTTGTGGACTTCAACTCCTAGAATTCCTCAGCCAAGCATGCTGGCTAAGGAATTCTGGGAGTTGAAGTCCACAAGTCATAAAAGGGCCAAGTTTGAAGACCCCTGCTGTAGGGGCTGCAGTAATTAAAGACACTAACTCTAGTATTTTAGTGGTATAAGTGGTTATGCTATCAAGAATCATGTATGTGGGTACTTAGAACTTGGAGCTTTCTGTTACACCAAGGGGCACATCAATAGGATTATCTTAACATGAATGGGGCTTTAGAGCAGCTCCTATACCAGGAGTCCTAAAGCTTCTCTGATCTCAAAAGATCAGTCTAAGAATTTAGGACAGGTAGAATTTACCTGGGTAGCAGTAATCTTATCCTGCCTAGTCCTTGTAGCTCATCAATGAAAACAGAGATTTCAATCCAGTTACAGACCTTTTAAAAATCTTCTTGATCTTTTATTTGATCTCTTTCCCATCTTTTTGGCTAAAAGGAGAAAGGATATCTACAGAAATAAGTAACATGCAGGAACCAAAGGGGTTGGCAAAAAACTTGATTTAAATGATACAAGTAGAACCTGCAGTAAAACACTAACCAAATTTTCACTTTGTGTTAACTGACAGTTTCCTTAAATATGGCTTGGTAAGGGAAAGTCAGTTGGATATGATTGCATAAAAGTAAGGTGTGGTGATGGACATAGTTCAGGTCTGATACATGTTTTGTAAGAATTATACGTTCTTGCATTCATAGGATAAAACAAATTACATCTCAAAGTATTGAAACACCTGATAAAAGTAACAAGTTTGGTATGTTTTGAAAATAGCAAGTTACCAAAAGACTTGAGTAGAGTAAATCCAATATTCAAATAGGAGAAAGAAAAGGTGGGATACAGCCATCATCCATTAACTTATTCAATCCTGTTTAAAAGCTATCCAAGTTGTAGTTACTAACGTGTTATTGTGGCAATAGCACACATTAATATGCATTCCACATATTAATTATGCACTGTTGAAAAAGCACCTATTTAATTTTCTCTCCAGTCTGCTTTAACCAGCATCGCATCAGAAATGCTTATCAGATTGAAATTTAGTGTGCTAGGACCTGGTGTTAGAAGGATTTCTTTTAGGGGTTCTAGTTGACTACTATTGCACATGGGTAAGTAATGTGATGCAGTAGTGAAACAGTTACATCATCTTTGGAGGTTTCATTACATTGATACTGTACTTGTAGTACTGTGTCCAGTTTTGGGCATCACACTTTAAAAGGAAGTTATGAAGATGATAAAGAGCCTGGAAACCAAGCCCTGTAAATAAAATTTAAATGAGCTGGGCACATCTACTATAGCTTGAAAAATAGAATAAAGAGAGATCATTGTGACTTATAAATATTTAAAAATATTTTGATCTCATGAAATACTAATTTGAAATCTGACCTGTCAGACAGCATTGACTTCATGTAATCCAGGTGTTTTGTTTCTACAGTCCACATAATTCTTTTGTTTTATAGCAAGGACAAGGAAAGGAGATTGGTACAGTGGAAATGCAAATGGGATGTTTTAATTCAGAGAAGTTGCTAGCTACTGAGAGAGATTAGACTATAAGAAGATATATAGATTGTGAGGAATGTTTAAAGTTAAAAATTGCATCTTAGATGGTGTACAGAGTTTTTAATGTATGATGATCTTATCTTAATAATGAAGGATTCCCTGAATGTTGATCCCTGCAAAAGCACCCTAGGATCTTTCTAGATTGGGCTGCACCCAGGCTTGACTAAGATCCAATACATTTTAGGATTTAAGTGACTTGGGTTATTAACGTGAATCAAACAGATGATGGAATAATAGATTAAAAGAGTTGGACTGATGTGCAGAGTAACACATGGTGGGTGGATGTGAAATTAAAGAAAGGAAATTCAAACTGTATCTTAGGAGGAATTTTATGATAGTAGGAAATATAGTATAGTATAGTATAGTATAGTATAGTATAGTATAGTATAGTATAGTATAGTATAGTATAATATAATATAATATAATATAATATTAGTCAATCTTCAACAAGGCACTGGAGAACATCGATGCTGGCATCAAAGTAAATGGTGTTTGGATCAACAACTTAAGATATGCTGACGATACAGTTCTGCTTGCCAGTAAGCATGAAGACCTTCAGGTCCTCATCAACAGTCACAAAAATATCTGAAAAATATGGCTTGAAGCTTAACACCTCAAAAACCAAGATCATGATTGTCAGCAAACAACCCGTTAATTTACCACCAATAAATTCAGAAGGAATACCACTAGAAAAAGTTGAAAGGATCACACACCTCGGTTTCAATTTACATGAAAGCTGGGACATGACCGTTGAAGTAAAGACAAAGATAGAAAAAGCCCGAACAGCATTCTTCAAAATGAAAAAGGTCTTCTGCAGTCATGACATAAGCCTAAGACTGAAAATCAGGCTTGTCAGATGCTATATTTTTTCTATCCTGCTCTATGGAGTAGAGAGTTGGTCTCTGACAGAAGGCCACCTGAAGAGACTAGAAGCATTTGAAATGTGGATTTACAGACGGCTGTTACATATAAGCTGGGTTGACAAGATCAGAAATGAGGAAGTAATAAGCCACCTGGGAAAGCCAAGGGAAATCATCAAAACAATTAAAAACGAAAATTAGAATATTTTGAACATGTGATGCAACACCCAGAAAAATACGGCATACTCCATTTAATCCTCCAGGGAAAGATTGAAGGCAAACGAGGTCCAGGCAGAAGAAGAACATCATGGCTTCAAAATCTAAGGGATTGGTTTGGACAAAACTCAGCAGCACTTTTTTTGTGCAGCTGTTGATAAAAACATGATCTCCAATGTCTGATAACGGATATGGCACAAGAAGAAGAAGGAATAATTAAAGAGTAGAATGTTCTGCACAGAAATGTGAGAAACTCCCTCTTGCTGGAGGTTTATAAATGGGGACTGATTTAACTGATTCTTGCACCGAGCAGGAGGTTGACCTATACTGTTTTTCAAAACTCATATAATTCTGATTCCGAAATTCCTAAAGGCTGGATTCATATCTTGAACAACACCTTAATCTACTTTTTTTGGTTTTATTTTGTACACTTTATGAATCCAACAATGGAGAACAGTAAACCTTATTTTATGATGTAGTTGTGTTTCATGAATACAGTTGTCTGCAGTTTAAGCAACTATGGGTTAGTGCACAACATGCACACAGTGGAGGTTGTATGTCCATTCTGGCTCTGTGCAGCCTTTGATACCATTAACCATGCTGTTATTCTGGACTGGCTTAGGGAGTTGGGAATGGGGAATGCCAAGTTAAGGTAGTTCTTTTCCTTCTTCCTGGGTAAGTTCCTGGGTCAGTTCTGTCCTATACCCCTTTCCCACTTTTAATATCTCCATCAAACCATTGGTCATTCACTATTATAAAGTAAGGCATCATTCATTTATTATTGATATCCATGTGTACTTTGCACTAGGTATCCAAATGAGGTTCTGTCCCAAAGACTGCAGGCTTTGAGGGTATGGCTGGGGAAGAGCAAAGATAGCATTGCCCAATTCAGATGTGATGCACAACCTGAAGGTCCTCCTGGTCTCACAACTCAGCTTCTTATTGCCACATTTTGAACCTCCTCCCCCCAAAACACAAGAACATGTTGTGAATGTCCACTCAAAGAATCTCGTAATGCTCATTGCAAGAGGCACTTCTCAATCCAACAAAACAATAAAAGAATGATACATCTAATCTGATTTCAAGATTTCTATAAAAAGCAATATGCCTTTAGGGAAGAATTATATGCATAAAATATATAAACTATATCTATATAAAAGATGTGCTGAAAGTTTTTATTATTTGCAAGCAATTGCCATTTTTGTTGAAAATATCCCATGCAAAAAATAATTAAACATAGTAATAACTGCATAGGATCACCAACATGATTGCCAACGTCCGATAACGGATATGGCAAAAGAAGAACTGCATCAATATTTGCTTTTAAAATTCATTTAATAGCTCTAAAATTCTTCATGTAAGAAGCTAGTGTTGTTCCATATGATTACTTTTTTTCCTTCACGAAGAAAACAGTAGTATACTAATGATAACAGGCTCTTAGATGACCGGTTACAAAAAAAATTTCACCTGATATAACTTCAATGTTGTATGTCAAGATATAGAGATCAACGGCCACAAGGTGGAGCTAGTGGCATGATGCTAGAGTAGAGGATCTTATTCAGATAGCATTCAAGATTTGCAAAGGAAAAAGGTAATGCGATTTGGTTGACTTCTGATAGGGCCAGAATACACAAAACTATCTGGCAGCAAGTGCTGCTCTAATGACATTTGAATTCACCCCATAATCAAGAAACAATTTGATGTTTAGGCTTTATTAATAAAGTGAAGACAGGATGCAATTCCCAACTTTAATATAAGTAGGATGCCATGAAAGTTTGTTTGGGCAATTTAAGCATGAGTAAGAAACCAAAATCCTAAATTTGTATAATTATGTTGCACTTTAATGCATGCAGAAATATTGTTGCCTTCTTCAGGAACTCAAAGGGCCCTTATATAGGATATTTTTTTTATGCTCCACAACCATATGTGAGGAGACTGGGATGAAAGTCACCCAGTGAAAATCCATGGTGACACCAGCTTCCTTCAGACTCAATGGCACTGGAGGGCTTAAAGAATCAACTGCTGCAGTGCAAAATTGTGGATCCTGCTAAGACTTTATATAAAATCATATGAAATAACTGAGTTTCTTAAACTTTTTTCTTCCGGGACCCCTTCCTACTTTTAAAAATTATGGAGGCATACGCAAATAGCTTTTCTTTGTTTGTAATATGTATTTACTATATTAAACATTAAAAGTGATTTATTCTCTGATGTTCCCACTTCTCAAAATTATTTCATGGGATTTTAATATTGTATTATTATTCAACAATACGCTGGCAAATAACTTTGATTTCACAAATTCCCCCAGTGGTCCTAAGACCACACTTTAAGAAACACTGAAATATCCAAATACAGGCCATTTTCCTAGAAGGCTGCATTCTGTTATGTCACTAGTATGTGATGAAAGCTGGATCCGGATAATCAATTATAAGGATACTCCTTCCTTCCTTCCTTCCTTTCCTTTCTCTCTCTCTCTTTCTTTCTTCCTTCTCTTTCTTTCTTTCGTTCTTTCTCTCCCACAATTCCTTGGATATCACCGGTTGTAATAGTTCTTTCTATGCATACGAATGTAATCAGAATTTTGAATTGTCATTTCAGGTGGATCCTATGAACAAGTACGAAGATCTATGAAGGTCCGACTTCTCCTTTCTTCCTTGCAGCAAAGCCGTTTGCTAAACTGGCAACTGAGTCCATGGCCTTCTCCCTATCCCACCTCGGAAATCCCGCCGTTATCCTGCCAGCGCTCAGAGAGTACGTTCAATTTATATATCACGGCTTCCCAAACGATAGCTAAATCACCTAAAAAACCACCTCGTCTGCCCCAGCGAAGGTTCTCTACTGGGCATGCGTAGAGTCTTTCCAAGCATAATCTCATAAATCTCGCGAGATCGAATCCGCCTGGCGCGGGTTCTGAGACTAAAATTCAAATGCTGGTTTGCGGGGATTGTTGCACTTTTTAGGTAAAGGCGAAGCAGGTAAGTGCTGGCCGGTTTTCCGGCACAAATCCTCGCATAATGAGATGGGGGGGGGTTACATTTTAAAAAGTAACAGCCAGAATATGCAGAAGCAGCAATAACTACAGAAGAAGAGGATCTTTCTTTTTCTCCAGAGTGGTCTTTGCTACTAGTAAGACTGCATTAACCTTTTTTAAAAAAAAGAAAAAAACGAGGTTTGCCAGGACTTTCCTAGTTGTATGTCTTCTGGAAAAAGTTCCACAGTTGGCTTATATCCTTAAAATAGTTTTTCTCCCAAAAGCGAAGTTAGTTGCTTTCAGCTTGAGCCACTTGAGCTGCTTCCTCTTTCCTCCGCCTCTTCCTGTTTTCACTCCGTGTGGCTAAAGGTAGCCTCCCTCTGTGTATTGGACTCCCACCTGCCTTTTAGGGAATAGTAAAAAGCAGCAACTTCAGCCTGCTAGATCTGGAGGGCTGGGTGAAGAAAGGAGAGAAAAGGGGGAGAGCCTTCTTTATGCTATGGGCTAGCGCTTTTCCTAAATAAAATCCAATTGCTCAACCCTGCACTCATCTAGATTACTTCATGATCCTCTAATAGTTTAGGCAGGGCAAGAATCAGAAAAGAGTTTTATTATATTGCCTGTTTTATACTGGCATACAATTAGAATTGATCCTACTACTGAAACAAGTGTCCTGCACATTCTGATCAATTTTCCTTAAAATAATTTACTCTTAGAAACCCATGATTCCATTACCCTAAAAGTAGCTAAATTCTACTCATCTGCAAAATGCGTAGCCTGCCAATTGATAAACTGAGTTTTATGGTTCTTTTTTTGTATGTAACCTGCTTTTTTACTATTGTTTTATTTTATTATAGCTTTATTTTGTACTTGTACTATAAAGATACTTGTACTAGAAGAGAACTGGAATTTTAAACAATTCTATATACATATAATTATATATATATTTCCATTTATAGAAAAATATATACATACAGACACGCTGAAGATCATTTAGTTTGGAACTATGACAATAAATGGTTCATTTCCTTTTGGTTTGCATAATACTGTTTTCCACAATCCTAACTGATAACTTTTTTCACTTTTTCTTCCTGTCCAGGGATATTTTATATGCTGCTGCTCAAGTTTCTTCTGAATTGGAGATGCATATTTAGATTTTAATTCTTTTGAACTGAAGTATATAACTCTGTAACTGAGATTTTCCCAGTTATTTTTTAACATTTTAAAAATTCTTAATCTTGAAATCATCAGTTGCAGACCTTGAGGCATTTTTTTCTAGTTTTTGGACAATATATTGTCCCAAGTGCTGAAGTGCCAGATGGTTGAAAGGAAGAATTATTGTTCTCCATTCTTTTGCTAAAATAACTAGAGAAAGAAATGGAGCTGAAGAGATTCTTTCAGTGCAAAGAGTGACTAGCTCTAACCTTTTCATGAAAGGATCAAGTCAGCTGTTTTGTTGCATTCTACCTATATTACAGGAACCTTCCTGATCTGCTTACCTTCCCTTGGGAACAAACAACAACCCATGGACTTAAAAGAGGGGGTCAGGTTTATGTCTCATGTAACTATTGAAGGACTCAAGGCTAGATTCTCACTTGATTCCTCCTTGCCTGGCCAGGAGTTTCCTAACTCATAGTAAACAAATAATTGTGTGATTTTTTTTCTTTATAGTGTTAAATATACCATAAGTACTTACAAAAAGAGAATAATTAGAATAAGATGCTACTGTGTTTCCCCAAAAATAAGACCCGGTCTTATTTATTTATTTATTTTGCCTCCAAAATAGGCACTTGAACTTGTTTTCGGGCTGTCTTTTCCGCTCACCTTGCCCTAGTGGCACTGACAGCCCCGCCCAGCTGGCCCACTTCTTCTGTCACCAAAGGAAATGCCTCTGCAGCTTAGAATGGAGCTCCAGCCTGCATTTCAGGCTTCTGCAGCCTGAATCCGTAGCTCAGTTCTTGATTGCAGAGGCCTTTCTGAAAGGCCTCTGACAGCGAAATGCAGGCCAGAGCTCCATTCTCAGCTGCAGAGACATTTCCTTCGGCGGCAGAAGTGGGCCAGCAACTCAAGGCATCTGTCAGGGCATGGGAGGCCTGGCTGCAACGGTAAGTGGGTATGGGGGGCACAAGGGAGCTCGAGCCCCTACCTCCACCCTAGCTTGATTTTTATGCATTGCCTCTCCCCAAAACTAGGGCTTATTTTTGGGGTAAGGCTTATACTAGGCCCACCCACAAAAATCAAGCTAGAGTTTATTTTGCAGGTAGATCTTTCGGGGAAACACGGTATAACAGAAGTAGAAAATACAGTGGCAAAGCTGGGGTGAATATTTTTCATGATAATTTTTATAATAGAAATTGTGTAACTTTAAGAACCCTTACAGGATGATCATGATACTAAAGGCAGAGAATAAATGTGACTAGAGGAAACTACAATTTTGCACTGAAGTAGGAAGTTGTTTCAGGTTTGAAGGCACATTGGAAGGAGTTTGGGGACTCATCTTCAAAATGGATGCAGTGAAGACATTAGTCATAGACTAGGGCCAGAACAAGTTTAAATAGATTAAATTTCATAAAGTACGTTTATGAAATTGTATAAGAAGTTATTAAAAACCGGTGTAACTGTAAAATATATTCTTCTCCCCATTCTCATAAAAAATTGAATTTTTAATCTGACGCTAATAAAAGGAATAGTATATTTCCTTCTCTTAACTGTAAAATGAAATTATTTCCAAACTATACTTATAAATCAACTTTAACCACCTATAATTCACTAACTCAATTAACATAGATGTTATTTTCCATCCTTACTGAGATGCGAAGAAATTTTTTACCATCCCAAAAATTTCTACAAAAGGGCTGCAATATTTCAATTATTAAACAAGAATCCACAATCCCAACAACCTTTTCCCGCTCTTCCAATTCATTTTAAAATGTATTTTCAATTCATGTCAAAGGAGGGATCGCAGGGACTTTCCAGCAATCTTTATTTTTCATATCCCTACCTCTTTTATCCAGAGGCAAGGAAATGAAAGATGTGTAAGCCATTGATTTCTGCCCTCAGCCGGATCCAAAGTACAATGGATATCTCAGTGGGCAGACTGATTGTGACTATAATAAGTGTGAAGTCTGGTAAACGTTAAGGAAGCTACTGCTGCTGCTTGACTGCATGAACTGTGTTGCCCTTTTTCCTGACTGCTCCAGGAACCCTGTATTGTTTTTTATTGTCTTTATTTTTATTTGTATTTTATATTAAGAAAAACACTTTTAATGTATGTTTTTTAAAAAGTGGTAAGAAACAAGACAATGAGAGAACGGGGAAAAGCTTTCTGGCAATGGCTTATAAAGTAGCAAAAGGCCAAAATAGTGACTAGAAAGTGCTATAGTTCGGGGGGGGGGGGAGGATAACCATTTTTCAGTAGCTGTCTTACTAAATTGTTATTGTCCTTTCATATCTCTTCCTTAGTGAGATCTTGTAATATTGTAGAAACAAATCAAATAGCAGTGGCAATGAAGGATGTTAAGGAGAGAAGCTGTTTCTTACTTATTACAAAGCAATAAAGGTCCACAAACTGGGTTTGCCCAACTGAATAAACCCAATCTGCTACTATTTACCACTGGTATGGTGGCAGATAACTAAAGAAATACTGGGTGTTCCCAGCTAAGTAAACAGATCTTTATGCTTGTGGCTAACAGATCTTGGATTTTTGTCCAAAAAAGTATACACAACTAAAAGGTAAAGGAAGATTGGCAAAGGAGAATGTTTAGCCAATTTTATCCTAAACAAACATCCTCTGTGCATCCATCTAGGATGAAAAATTAAAAAGCATAGAGATGGAGTGCCTATTTTGTGAAGTGAAACAAGACTTTTGAACTCTCCAAAACCAGAATCTTCTAGGTTTGATTTCAAAGTTTAATCACTCGGCATAGGTAATTAATACAAATTAAATAACATGGATCCAAGAAATGATCAACTTTCTTAATTGAGACAGCATTCTAGACCTTAAAATGATACAAATAGCAGGTGAAGATAAAGTGTTCCTATGGTTGTCATTATTGAGCCTCATAAAGCTTCATTGCTATTTACTAAATTTGAAAGAGGTCAATAGGGAAGTTCTATTCATATTTGCTTAGAAGTAAATTTCACTGAATTAAGTGGTTCTTATTATCTGGTAAATGGACCTAGGAGTACAGCCTAAAGGTTCTTTGGCTAGCTCTAAAATAGTCCTTAATAAATTTCCTATGCAAATTTCAGAGTTCTGATTTTCTACTTGTGATTTTTTTTTTATAGCTGATTTAGTGTAAAGTCTTGTTAGTGGATTAGTGTAAAACGTTTGTTAAAACTCAGCAAAAATAACTGAAAGTTTCAGTATACTGGTGCTGTCTTGATAAGTATTGGAAGAAATGAGACTGGAACTCTTTGGCCTTAGTTACAGAGAACCACGTTCATTGGCAATCTTGTAGGGTTTGGCAACCATGGAAATAGTGAAGGAACAGATTGAAAAGGATTTGCATTTCAATTATCTCCCCATGTGGTTTAAGAAAAGCTATTCTAAGAGCCTGCAGTGATGGTGACAAAATCAGGAATGATCTTCAAGATAAAAGTAAACAGATTTCCCAGTTAAAAAAGCATCATTTGGTTTAAATTTGTACTTTCATAAGATGGAATGTATTTGAAGGTCAGTTTCTAGTTTTTTCTTCGCAAAATGTTATTGGACTGAGAAGGTTTCAGTTCTTTTAGTTTCAGTGTTCGTTTGAATATAGTTTTAATGCTTACTTACTGCCAAGTATTACTTTGCATGTAGCTTTCAAATATTTTCTAGTTTAAGCATTTTGTGGCAGCTAGTTGTGTTATGTCAAACTGTAAAATGTTGTAAAAGTTATTAGGTTAGAGTCTTATTTGGTTTTCTATGACTCAGTATATTTGATTTCTAGTTTAAAATGTTAACACATTGCTGATGGCTCTAAAATATATTGCTTAATGTCGTTATTATGCAGACTGAAGCTACATAGCTTAATCAGGAAAAGGCAGGAAGATAAAAAAACATTCTTGCCACAGTTGCCATTAAGTACTGCTAATCTTGATTGGGTTTCATTATAATAATGAAATATTGAATAATGTTGAAAATAAAAAAAATCAGAGTCTTGAAGTTCATAAAACCATCAGTCACATTTATGATACAACTATTAATTTATAGTTTTAATGGATAAAAATGATGAAAGATTGTTAATATGACAAGATAAATGGGATGTTTTTGTTTTACCAGATCATGCCTCTGATGATTTACTGGGCATACTTTTTGGGAATTAAGGTCTGCTGGTCAGAGTCTGATCTAAACTGAGTCGGTTAGCTTGGAATAAAATTTGGTAGCTGTAGCGGATACTCACATATTAAATATTAAATATTTTAAAAGAAAAACATGAAGAATTTTCAGGACATGAAGACATGGGTTTCTGGAAAACCAATACTACATTTCAGGATAAAAGTTATTTGCTTTCTATTAACGTGGGTTTGTATTAGTTTTGCAGTTTAGGTATTTTCTTTGAGAAGTTACTATTATAAACTTTATAAATAAGCTTTTCAAAGCTACTAGGAAAGTGTGACTCAAATTTGTTTCAATTAGCAGTACTGTTTGGGCAATTTATATGGCGATCTAACCTCTATTCTGTATGTATAGTTTTTTTTCCCCTTCTACCTTTCCACTATCTTGTTTTTAAACTTTTTATATCTATTGGTGGTTTAGCAACTAGAGTAAGTATTTTCCTTGTTTTTCATTTTGTTAAAAGTCCAGGAGTCTTTTTATGTAATTTGATGAAATGGGATTCAAGTATAATCCTAATCCATAAATGTTTGGCTTTGCATGCAATGTGAGCCAAGCTGATTTTATCTTATCGAATAAATTATGGTTAAGCAAGCCATGGTACAGTTTGTAAACCCAACCTGAATGCAATTTAATATCAGGCTAAGAATAGTTCTTCACACTCAGTTAATATATTTGTGTCCCCAAATATAAGAGACCCTTTGTCTTTCATGCTGGCTATGGAAGAATAGCAATATATATGATACATTAATGGATTGGTTATTTATTTGGCAGAAAAATGGAGATAGCCTGTATTTTAAAGACCTAGTCAGATCATAGCCTACCTGTGATTAAATATGTCACTGGGGGTAATGAGTTCTTCAAGGATGAGCAGTGGGAATTATTGATTGGTGAAGGTTAGTTTGTTTATGAAAGTGTAGTTGGTCTGTATATGAGGTCTAAGATTTTTAGATGATTGCTGATTTCTTTGATGGCACAATAATGACCCACTATACTTTGAGCCAATGAGTAGCATCCACAAAGCAATGTTCTATCAAGTGAGGAGGTGGTGTCATTTTTGGTCTGGGAACCTTCTAAGCATAGGATTTCTCCATGTGGTTATAAAAAGTGACAGCTGAATGAATTGGTAGCAATAGTAAAAGGATGGGTGGCTTTGAAGCTGAAAATTATTTGTCTGTCACAGAACAGCCCCAAGTTGGACACTTTTCTCTGCTTAACCTTTCAGGGAAGATTGTAAAGAAAGTTGTTGGTCTGATGGTTCAAAGGGCCCTGGAGGAAACATTATCTGGACCCCTTTCAGTATGGCTTCAAACTGGGATACAGTACTGAGACAGCACTGGTCACATTTTTAATAACTTGGGACAATTTTGAGATGAGGAAGTACATCTCTCCTGACCCTCAGTCTCAGCAGTCTGATAACATCAACCTTGGTATTATTTTGGATCAGCTCAAGGTCCACAGAGAGGGGGAGATATGGTGTTATGGTAGTTCTCCTTTCTCCAGGGAGGGCTCCAGTCGGTGTTGGGGAGGGGGGTTCTGCTTTGTAGGAGTAAGTACCATAAGTATATAAATTATGAAGGGGAGCTCTTCTAAATCCCATCAATAAATAAGATATATGAATTTTACCCATAATAGATTGATTTTTAAAAGTTGTACATCATATATAGTTTCAGTGTTAAAAGAAAATGGAGACAGACAGAGACATATGTTCACGTCTTCAGTGTCAACTGAAAGAAGCTGAAGAGGAAAGAAGAAAAGCAGCACAGTATGGTTTAAAGTTGGTGGAAAGCGAAAACTTGCTGCAGAATCGACTAGATGAAATGCAAAATGAAATGGTTACCATAACAGAGGTGAAATTCTAAGCATTGTATAAGAGTGTTTTGATAGATTCTACTCTGACATAGAAGCACTAATGTTGCTGCTGTGAAATAACATTAACATGTTAACATTAAAAAAATACAGTTCTCTGTATAGTCTTCTACACCGGTGGTCCTCAACCTTTCCAGCTTGGTGGCCTGGCATGGTGTGTGTGTGTGAGAGAGAGAGTTAAAGAGAGAGTGGCAGGTGTGGCTGCAGCTCCATTTGTGTGAGCGGTGTAAGCAGAGGGTCCTTGTGCTTGTGCCTGAAATTCCACTTGCACGAGCTTGGCCATTTTCTCGTGGCCCGGTAGTGGGCTACAGCCCAGGGGTTGGGGACCCCGTTCTACACCAGTTTTAAAGGTTTTGTAATGGAGTACTGTAATTATATTGCATTCATTAATAATGAAATTAATAGTTGTTACCGTTACAAGTAATTCTTGACTTACAACCCATTCATTTGTTGACAGTTCAGAGTTATGCCACTAAAAATGTGACAACCAGTCCTCGCACTTAAAACCAATGCAGTATCCCCATAGTCAGGTGATAAAAATTTGGTTGCTTGGCATCTAGCATATATTACAATGGTTGCAGTATCCCTGGATTCATGTGATCATCATTTACAACCTTCCCAGCTTGCGTCCAGCAAACAAAGTCAATGGGGAAAGCTGGATTTGTTTAAATATCATGTGATTCACTTAACTGCAGTGCTTCGCTTAACAACCATGACAAAAAGTTGTAAAAATAGGTGCAATTTACTTAACAACCGCTTTGCTTAACAGTGGAAATTATAGTCTCAGTTGTGGTCATACGTTGAGGACTACCTTTATATAGAAAGCATTCTGCATATTTCTCTTGCTAACTGTGGGTTTTGTCTTCTTCCAATGACTATGTGCAAATAATTAAATTTACAATTAGAATATACAGATGGTTCTTGACTTACAATGGATATTCTGGTCCCAGTTGTGGCTGTAAGCTTTTGTGGTCATAAATTAAGTCACCACATTTGTGACCATTTTTAGAATTATCATTAAATAAATCACATGATTGTTAAGCAGTTCCAGCTACCCCAATGAGCATTTTTTTTTTGCCAAAAAACAGCAAAAAAAAAAAAATGTCACAAATAGCAATCACATCATCGCAGGATGCTGTAACCGGTCACAAATGTGAGCTAATTGCCAAATGCCCAAATTACAATCATGTAACTGAAGGGATGGTATAATAACAACAACAACGACTTTATTGTCATTTTGAGCGTACACCAATCAGCATACATCAAATGAAATTTCATTGCATACAACTCTCAAAGGGCCACCACCTCCGATATACATTCCTTGTTCGTGGCCACTTCTAGTTTCAGAACGTCCATTTTAGTCTGTAGGAGGCGAATGATGGCAAACAGGACAGATGGAAATGGAGCTCCATGTGGATTAGCCCTTCAATGATTTGCAATGGTTGTAAGTGCAAAACAATTTGTAACTGACTTTTTCCGAGGCTGTGGTAAATGAATGGTTATAAGTCAACAACTACCTTTACCATCATGAAGAAAAACATTGCCATCCTATATGATTAGCATCTCTAAATGTAAATTGTGAATGATTTCCTAACTATTAGATAACCAACCTATTAATATGATTCATTATACGAATGATTGAATATTCATTGGATTTTCCCCATGAGCAAGGAGGTAGAATTTAAACTTTCCCCCTGTGCTGATCCAGTTTCATGCATCTAGACCTTCTCCTTTGATGTAGTTAAGAAATGTGCGCAAAAGAAATGTGCAATTTTTTAGTCTTTGCCAGGGCCAACACTTTTTGATTGCCCCTGTGCTTCTATAGCAGATGTCTTTCTTTGTTATAACTCCAGGATACTTCTTTTTTAGAATTTTGAACAAGAAAAATATACTCTCCAGAGAGAAGTAGAACTGAAGAATCGAATGTTGGGAAGTTTAAATCTTGAATGTGAGGCTCTTAAGCAGCAGCAAAATGTACAGCTGGATGCAATGCGTAAGCAATTGGAAACATTACACGGGCAAGAAATAAAAGAGCTTAAAAATAAGGTGCATTATACAAAGAATAAGATGAATATGTTGTTTATAGTGATTACTCCCTTCTAATAATGCTAAACTGTCTTTAAAATGTTCTGGACTTAATACATCTATTGAGAAATCAATCCTGAATTGGAGTATTTTTCTGCAATGCTAAATTATTACTGTGTATTAATTTGGATTATATGCAGCTTGATAGGATAGCAAGGAAAGTTTTGGGGGTAGCTGGGAATGTGTTTGTGTGTGTGTGTGTGTGTGTGTGAGAGAGAGAGAGAGAGAGAGTGCACATGAGTGCACATATAACTTATGTTTTCCATTTTTAAAATCCTGCTTTAGAGCAGAAAGGAGGGATGGGATTGAACCTATTGCTTCAAACTACACGGTGTGTTTAAAAGCCTAAGGGAGATGGGCACTCTAGAAACATAAAAGGTAATAAACAAACAAACAAACACCACCCAACTGCATGCTTGTTTTTTCAGCTTTCTTCCTTGGGGAATGTGATAGGAAATTCTGGCAAGTACAGTGCTGTCTTTTTAAAAACATTTGTTTATTTTATAAATACAGTGATTTGACCAGCAAGGCTAGTACAAAAAAAAAATGTTGACCTTAGTTAATGTATGCTTTCTTAAGTTTTAGAATGGAATGAAAATGAAGTATTCAGTAGAGCAATAGTTAGTGAGAATATGCTGGTAAATTTGAAGAGGAATGTATATAAGTAAAAGTTAAATGTAAAAGTTATTTTCCCCTTTGGAAAACCATTGTTTTATAGGTTGAAAAACTAAAATCAGAGTTAGATGAAGTGTTACTTAGTGAGAAACAACTGAAGCATAAAGTGGACCATCTGAAAGATGTGATTGCTTCAAAATCAGAAGAACTACACATAATGTCAGAACGTGTACAAGAAACTATGTCTTCAGAAGTGCTCAGTCTTCAGCTTGAACTTCTATCCCTTGAGCAAGGAAAGGTATGCCTCAGATTCATTCTGAAACTCTTATGTGTCCTGTAAGTTTATACATAATTTGCAGATAACAATTCTTCCTGTTGGCTTCTGATCTATAGTTGATCATGTTTAAATATCATGGAAAGTAATTGAAATTAAATGTTGTGCATCGGGCTGTTGCTCCTATAATTGTTTACATGACAAAAATATAAGTGCTAGTTAAATAATTCACACGTTTATTAATTTTGTGACAGGCAGATCTTGAGGACAAGTTACATGATCTGCAATACAGTAAAGAACAGCTGGAACTTGGAAATAGCAATTTGATGAATCGAGTGGCTCGGCTTGAAGAAGAGAAAGAAGAGAGAGAAAAAGATCTTGTTTCATTTTTCAATTCATTAAAGGTGTTGTATTATGTTGATATTTATAATTACAAAAGGATCTTGTGCTATGTAGTGAGGAATTTAATAAAGGGTTGCTTGTTTAAATAGACTTTTTTCAAATTATGTTAGAAGTTTGAATAAAACAATAAAAGATAATAAAAACTAAGTGAGAAAAAAACATTAAAAAAAATTATAATACCCTTCCCTCAAGAAAGCTTGTTTGTTGAAATAGAATTGATTTACTGCAATTCCTTGGGCTGTGTTCAGGATTCTATAACATAAATATTTTTAGCAATGAGAAGTAAATTGGCTTTGCTGGATTTGTTTCTTTTACAGATTTCACCTGAGAGGATATATGCTTAGCTATTATTTATTTTGTTAGGGATATATTTGTTTGAATCTGTGGAGAGGAAATGTTAAGCTAATCCTCTACTTGATTTTTGTCCTTCTAGGTGGTTTTAAGCATCAAAAATTATTTTCTAGATCTATTATTCTAAACAATTACTGGACTGCCTTAAATTATCATTTTTTTCTATGACTAGTTGGTGATAAAATTTGTGCTTTCTAATATACAATATTAGCTATATATATATATATGTCACTTTCATATTACTGCAAACAAAAACAGAAGGACTTAATTATAGTTGTTAGAAGCTGAGCAAAACTAGAATGAGATTTGTTTCTTAAAAGAACAAATTTAGGTTGCTTATAGGAAAGTTAGAACTTTATTACAAATGTTACAAAGTCATATCCTTAGGTACATCTAGGTTTCACGCTCCACCTAGTATTTTATTTGGATTCTTTTAGTTGTTTTAAAATATATGTTTACTAGTATAGGACAAAGCGAAATCATAACTTGGAGGATTACATCCTTTTTACAAGAATGTTTATAAACCTACCCTGATCTTGTCTTGGGAAATAAAATGATAGGCAGCAACAGTCCAGCACTGCCTCCTTGCTCTGAAAAAGGATTAAAATAAGTTGAAGCATAAGACAGCAGCCTGGGAAGGTATCAGAGAGCAACCTTAGCCGATTGCTAAGCAGATTGCTTCTAGACATTTTTTTTATGGAGCTGTGGTGGTGCAATAGATAGAATGCAGTATTGCGGGCTAACTCTGCCCACTGCAGACCAATCCTGACCAGCTCAAAGTTGACCCAGCCTTCCGAGGTTGGTAAATGAGACCTAGATTGTTGGGGGCAATATGCTGACTTTAATCGTTTAGAGAGGGCTGTAAAGCACTGTGAAGCAGTATATAAATCTTAGTGCTAGTGCTATTACTATTTATATCATGCCTTTATTATTTTTACAAATAACTCCAGGCGGTAAACATATCCAACACTCTATTCTTCCTATTTTCCCCACAGCAACAACCCCGTGAGGTGGGTTGGGCTAAGAGAGAGTGACTAGCCTTAAGTCACCCAGCTGGCTTTCATGGCTAATATGGAACTTGAACTCATGGTCTCCTACTTTCTAGCCAGATGCCATAACCACTAGATCAAACTGGCTGTGGTTGATGTTTTGGACATGTAATACCATTATCATGTGTTTTTGAAATTTTGAATATTACAAGCCACAAAGGATTGGAGAGTTGTGTAGATAAGATGCATTTAGTTTGGGTAAATTAACAATGTTTGACTCAAATTCAGGAAGCACGTGAAACGAACCGAAATCTTCAAGTTCAGCTTGACCATGCGCTACAGCAGGCTTTGGATTTTCCCAGTCAAGGCAATTCTCTATTTGCTGAGGTATGGATTTTCATAAAAGTATATATTACTTTCGACAAAGCCATTTTTAGCTTCAAAACCTTCATATATTTAGTCACTTCTCAATTCTCTTGAATTAGTTCTTCATTAGAGTATTCTGAATAAGCATTTTAACCAAAGTCTTAATACATTTGTAGTAAGTTATTACATGTTTGGAAACAATATACTAGGCTTGCTGGGGGATTCTGGGAGTTGAAGTCCATATGCCTTAAAATTGCCAAGGTTGAGCAACACTGCTCTAGATTCAGTAACAAAAATTTCTCAGTCCAATTATTCATTAGTAAGTTTGGCTAGGAACTAAAGCATGTGAAATTCCCCTTCCTGATATCCTCCAGTTGTGTTCAAGGCTAGATTAAATGCTGAAAAAGCTGTGACAATTATCACAGGTTGGGAGATATATTTTTTTGATGTTGCTTTAGGACAATATTTTATTCAAAACAATTTAGCTGTATAAATGCATGTAGCAGAGCAACAGTAGCACACAACCTATCTAAATTTATCAGTTTAAGCAGGCAATAGCTCTTTTTGAGTACCTTTTTATTCAGTCCTGAAACTTACCTATGTGAGTTGCTATGAAACTACTGATAGATTCTTGCTAGGAGCAGCTTATAACTGACAAATGTTTACAGAATCCAAATATATAGGAACTTGCTTAATTTTTAAGATGCTAATCCCTGTAGTGGTAACAGTAATGATTATGTAACCTCACAGATTCTTTCAAACTTCTGGAAACAATTGTGTTTGGCAATTATTTTTAAAATAAGTTGGTAATTACCTGGAAGCTACATAGCTTTGATTTGGAAATAATATGACAACATTATTAACTTTCATTATTTACCTTTCTAAGCATCTTATATGATAATTTCTCTTATACTGTATTTATAGCTTTCCCGAGGGACTGTATAATTTGCTACAAATATTAAATGCTTTATAATGTGAACCAATTTTAAGTGTTTTTTTTTTTTTGCCATAGGTAGAGGACCGTAGAGTAGAAATGGAGCGTCAACTAATTAGCATTAAAGTAAAATATCAGTTATTACAAAAACAGCATAATTTCACCAGAGAACAGTTACAAAGAGTCAAGGTATGGTTAATTTAAAATTTATTTTGTTAGAGGAAAAAAATCTTTAGATCATTTATGCTGGAATTTTATTATTTCTAATAGCTAAGCATTTATGTTTTATAATGACTAGATAGAACAGAGCTGGAAGGGACTCTGGAGGTCTTCTAGTCCAGCCCCCTGCTCAAGCAGGAGGACCTATACCATTTCAGACAAGGGGCTGTCTAGACTCTAGCCTTTTCTTAAAAATCTCCAGTGATGGAGCACCATAATTTCTGGAGGCAAGCTGTTCCACTAGTTAATTGTCCTCACTGTCAGGAAGTTTCTCCTTATGGAGAAGGAGAAATGCTGATCCATTCTGTTTCTGGTGTAGAAAACAAAATGTATTGGTATGAAATATTAGGAAGATTTTAACTTTGGTTGTTGTGAAAACTATAGCTATTCTTAGTTAGAAAGTTTGCCAGAGTACCCATGCTTGATATTTTTAGCTGGTATTTTCAGTACAAATGGATACTTACAAGAACTGGTGTTAAATCTCATAGACTGTTAGCTGAATATAAGAAAATGTTTGTAATTTAAAAAATGACCAAAATCTGGTTTGATTTGTAGCTGCAGATGGCTACACTTCTAAGAATAAAAGGTTCACAAGGAGAGCATGACCAGTTGGAACGTTTACAAAGCATGCTTCAACAAAAGAATGGTGAAATAGAAGAACTGCTCATGAAACTGAAACAATTAGAAAAATCAATGGTATGTACATGACTAAATTATCAAATCCTTTATTGGCAGCTGGTGAAGGAATGGTATAGAATTGGACTAGAAAACATTACATAGAATAAGCCCATGCAGCAAACAGACTCATGAAATCATAGAGAGAGACTTAACCATAAAAGTGCACTGAGACAATAGATCTGGATAAGAATTTATGCAGAAAATAACCGGGGGGGGGCATCTCTCTCTGACACTCAGGCATTAGTGGGGAGTATTCCAAGTGAGGGGCCTCAGGCAGATAGGTGATAGCAGCAAGAACTATCAAATCATACACCCAAGGCAAGGGGCACAAGCAAAGTGTTTAAACCCAGAGCGTTTCAGGAAAGGAGGGTGTGAGAGACCTCCCCAATGCCTTATGGATATTCAGTGGCAAAATGATTAAATTATAACTGTAATTTCTGTTTCTCAGCTTATGGTGTGATTTTAAGAATGGAATAGGAGCAATTTGCTTTAGAGAGGCCCAAAAGTGGGATAAAAATGAAATGTGACCACGCTTCTTCCAATGATATCGAAGAATGACTTGGTGGTTTTTATCTGTATCCCGAGCTTTGTTCATCATGGTGGTAGATGATACTGAAAGACTTGAAGAATTCCATTACTGAGGAATAGTACCCACAATAGTGTGCTCTATCAATCTCAGTTCCAGGAAATACAATAAAGAAGAGAAGTGGTTTTACAACTTTGCATTTATATAAAGATAAGCTTTCATATTCAATGAGCAACTCATTGTGGGATAAGAACCCAAGATAGCTATTTTTCCCTTGTTGTGTTTTGTAGGCTGATTTCAAGAAGCATAAAAGCAATAAAATACCAATAGAGATACCTATTTGGTGTGTAAGTTGTTCGATAATTTTCCTATATAAGATAGCTGGATTTATATATTCCCTTATACAGTCATTTTTTACCTCAAGGTATATATAGCATAATTTTGTTACAGTTGAATGGGATGATTTTTCTTCAAAAATATTCTTACTTGTTGCCATACCTTTTTGCCACTAGCAGATAACTGAGATTACCAGAGCCAATATTAGTTTTAATTTTTTAAAATATTTGTTTACCCAGAAGGTATCTGAGAACTCAAGAGAGCTGAAACCGTTTAAAGCCTCAGAAGATGCTGAATTTGAAAATGGCTATTATGTTGATTTGCTTCAAATGAAACTTGAAAATTCAGAGTGAGTCTTGTGAATTTTAATTGTGAAAATTGACAGCCTGATTGAGCCATGGCATATTCATTTGGATTAGAGTATTAGTTCCTTCTTCTCTAAATGCTAAATTGTTAGGATTTTTTTTATTCTTTTTTTTTACTTTCTTGATTAAAATGTCCATTGCTAAAATTAACTATTAACTATTTTAGTAAAATAAGTCTTGGTTACATAATGTCAGCATTTTAAATTGAAACCAAGTAATACTGCGGAACATATTGTGTGAAATCAGCCACCATTGTTTATAAGTGGTGATTTATGGTATAGCATGTTGTGTGAATTTACAAGAACATAATACATTAGGATCTGTATTCAGCCTTAGTATCTTAGATGAATCAGCTAGGGTAACACAGTAAGACATAGTTCGTTGAATAAGCTATAATGGCTGAACACAATATCAGTTTCAAACAAAAGAACTGAGTTCATTTGTAGGTAATTCTCAACTTACATTACAAGAAACTCTTCCCCCCGCCCCCCAAAAGTACTTACTATATGATTCCAAGTAGTAATGGTCATCACATGATACATTTTGAGTATTCAGCAACCTGCTCACATTTATAATTTTCAGTGTCCTGGGGTCACATGGCTACAATTTATGATTTTTTTAAATGGAAACCGGCATTTACTTCTGGTTTCTGGAAAAAGCTCCCATTGGAGACAATGGGTTTGCTTGATAACTGTGGCACTTGCTTAATGACCATGGTGATTTGCTTAATGACTGTTGCCCAAAAAAATGTAAAATTAAGTCACTTGATGTTTAACACCAGCACTATTACCGTAATTTCAGGTTCAATTACAGTCGTAAGTTTTAGACTACCAATAATATGCTAAATTAATCTTGTACAGCTTAGTCTGCTGTATATGAAATTAATAACCGTGTGCAAATGTTCTATCTGGAAGAGTGCATTAGAAGAGTACAAGCAGCACAAAAAGTCATTTCTCTTCTTCGAGAGGGTGAAAAAATAAATAAGAAAAAAAAAACAGCTTACTTGCATGCAACAAAAAGAGATGGTACTTTGAATATGAGTAGATATTTTAGAAGCCAAAAACCCAATATCCTTTGGAATATTAACATGAGTTCAGAATTCTACCATACACAGTAGAGTTAGGTCGAGAGAAAGGCAGTCACTGACTTTCCCTATTTGAAGGTGAACCCAAAGCTGAGCCTCCCTGATCTTAGTCCAACACCTTAATCATACATTATGTTGGCCATTTTCAAAATTCTTAATGTTACTTTATGAATCAGGCTTGATATTTTTAGTGAGTGAAGTTGTGCTTTTCCTTCAATTTTATCTTTTTTTTTTTTATCCCAGGGGTCCCCAGCCCCCGGTCTGTGGACCCGTATGAGGCCGCAGCATGTCAGCAACCAAGCCACACAAACAAGCAAAATCCCATCCGCGGGATGCAGGCAGCACACAAAACCACGCCCCCTCTGGTCCGCAGAGAAATCTCTCTCCACGTAACCGGTTCCTGGTGCCCAAAAGGGACCTCTGCTCTATCCTTAGTATAAGCGACAAATTTCTACTGGCTCGAAAAAGCTATTACTGTTTCTGTACTGAGAGTACCATAAATCTTTTTGAATGGTTTTGCTGCTAATTTTGGTTCACATTCTACACATTTTTAATCCTTATGCAGTGTTCATGTCAGGATTAAGTGAAAAAGATGAAAGGAATTGAGACCTGCAATATGGATATTGACTTTATGCAGTTGTATGTTTTCTAATACTTTTTATTTCCTTTTTGTTAGTAAGGAGAAAGAAAATTTGAAGAATGAATTGTCTCTACAGCGGATGAAAGCTTTATTTGAAAGTCAGCGAGTCTTAGAGATGGAGCGAAAGGTTTTTGTAACGGAAAAGCAACTTGAAACTTGTCAAAGTGAGAACATAAATTTGCGTGTGCTGCTAGATGAATTGAAAATCAAATATGAACCAGAAGGTAATTATCCCTGCTCCCTGGTAAATCACTACTTTCATTCGTATATTGCCTTTTAGTGTGGGAACTGGCCGAGGTTCTTGAAGGCTTTTAGAGTTATACATTCACTGCATAGTCTCAGTTGGGAATTGCTTAGTATTGTTTGTGCATAGCTGAGAATTCAGAAGCCTGGGAGAGACCTTGGAACAATATAGGTTATTCATTGAGGCAAATAGGCATAGAACAGGCTGCACAATCTCTTCTGTTTTCTTACAATGGAGAAGTGTATCTTGAAAATGTATTACTTCTTCGTTTTGCTTAGGGACACAGCAGATTCTCAGTTTAGCTCCCATTAGTGAAATGTTGTTGAGAGCTATGCTGCATTTTCATTCTTTTATTTTTCCCTTTATTACTTTCCCCAACAACTGGAATCCCTGTCGAAAGTCCAGTGTTGTAATTCCACGTTTTAGGGGACCTCGCTGAAACAAAGGAGGAATATTGCTGTGGTTCAGACCACTAGCACTTTTAGAAAGCAAAGACCCCTGCCAGGGTACATCTCCTTTTTCTCCAGTAGCAATCAACTTCATTTGTATAGGGAAAGTCATCTGTGAGTTATTCACTAGTTCAAGCTGCAGTTACACTGACTTTATGTTCTTCCAAGTAATAGACAATACAGACCCCAACGTGAATGTTTTAACATTTTATTGCACCTGGAGTTCTGGATGTGGACACCATACGTTGCCAAGCTTCTTTCATTCACTACCCTTTGTTCTTCCTGCCTCCTAAAGAAGACTACACACTTGATCCATGTAGCTGGTTCTTCTAGTTCTTATTAATGGATCCCTGGTGCCCCAATAAAGGGCCCATTATGTAGGAGGGATAGTCAACAGGTTGTTAGCATAAGTAACTCAGTGTAATCTTCCCTTGAGTTTCTGTCCTTTAGGAGGGAAGAAGAGGAAATGTCAATAATTGACGAAGCAAACCAATTTACACATGAGCCAGAGTGTTGCAAAAACAGATTTCCCCAGGCAATTGAAAAACGTTTATAAGATTTTTTTTCAACGTGCGCAAAGGAAGAAGCGGTTTCTTGATAATATGTCATTAAAAATTATAAAGTCTGTAATGCAGAGAACTCTGACACAGAGTCTTCATACCTCAGATTGTAATAATTTTCCCTTGATAAATTGAGAGGCTAACTGTTCCAGATTCTCTTGTATATTCAGACTTCAGAGCTATTTATTTATTTTACTAGATTTAAAGGTAGCTTGACTCGAATGACTCTGGGTAGCTTATGCTTTAAAAAAAATAAGAGCTAAAAGTTACAAGCACTGAGGAATGCAGAGTAGGCAATAAATTCTCACTATTGAGAATTTTCAGTCTTTTCAGCCAAAATCTGAGGGTTCTGGTGAGATTACTAACTCACAGTTTTCCCATGGAGACCTTCCCATGCAGCAGTAAGACGCCCGAACAAACAGATCATTCAGATAGTTCCATCATTCAGAAGGATTGTTCTTCTGAATCTTAGGAATGGCCGGATCAGGTTTTATCCTATAGTTGCTTCTGCCTTCCTGAGGGTAGTAGCAGAAGGGCCTGCCAGGCCCTGTAGCTGACTACAATAAGAAGCTAATAAATCACCTTGTTTATATGTCTTAATTTAAGGGGAGTTAAAGGTTAAGTATGATGTTTTTTTTCTTTTTTCTTTCTTTTTTCCCCCTTTTTTATTATTGTTAACCTTCTTATTAATAACCCTGTATTCTGCTCTGGGAAGCGAGGGGGGGAGGGTTGAGGGTGGGTGGGTGGGTGAGTGGGTGGGTAATGATAATATAGTCATGGCAAATGCTTGGGCATTTCCCCTATGCTGCGTTCATGTGTGTGAGAGGGATGAGAGGGGAGGAAGGAGTAGGGAGGAAGTAGGATGGTTAGAGGAGATGGGGAAGGGAAGAGAGTAGGAGGGGAGGAGAGAAAGAGGAGGGAAGTAGGGAAGGTTTAGAGAGGGTGGACGCAGCCTGGGGGGAATGGGCAGGCGGTATCAATGGTTAATTGTATTTTGTATGAATAAATGGAAAATAAAAACTTTTTTAATAAAAAATAAAGAAAAGAAAAAATCATCAAGGAGAAGGCCTCATTTCGTTCTCGTTTTATTCTTTCCAATCTGGTTGAATGTTGGGAATCACATAAATGGGTTTAAAACTCGATTGGTATGTCTCTCCATACAACTCTTCCAAAATAGAATGGAATGGCATTAAACTCAGGGACTGGGGGAAAAGTTGGCTCCCCAAAAAAGATCAAGTTCAAAAATGGTGTGGATCTAGTTGGGGCTGTAGAGAGAGAGAAAAAATCCTATAGTGCATTCATTGTGGGACAGACAAACTGGCAACATCTGAAATTGTTGGCAGCTGCTCCATTCTAAGCCTGTCTTCCTCTTCTTTCCCAGAAGGAAATTTGTATTAAGGATTACAATGAATTTCAGAAGCCATGCTCTGCGTGCTTTTCCTACCATGTTATTCTTGCTAACCCCAATGAGTATTGGAAAGAAATCAGATATACAATGTTGAGATTCTGCTCATCCATCAAGGAGATAATGCTCTAAAAATTGAACAGAACAAGGCCAACTTTTGTGTTTTCTATATAAGACAGAAAAAAGAAATCAAGATATACTTTTTATTAACCAGTAAACACATGAAGAATTTTAAGATGTGAGATGCCGGTGGTATGTTGTAAGGAATGAATGTATGTTCAAAGAAGTGAAAATGATACAGACTATGGTTCAGCCCAAGTGAGAATTGGATGTTGAGATGGAAAATTGTTACCTTCAACAGAAGCTCTTATTGGAAGATATGCTTTTAAATATAAGCAGAGTGTTAAAATAATAGAATGTATAAGTGTCATGGATCCGCCCCCGGACCCCTCTCCGGATGTGAGTTCAGAGGAGAAAGGTGAGTTTGAGTCATCAGAGGAATGTGCAGAGCTGAGGATTGGGACTCGGAGAGTGCTAGCCTGACAGAGCAGCCTCAGCTTGGTCAATCAGATGAGCAACAGGCTAGAGGAGGTGAGCCACAGCTGCAGCAAGTTGGCTAGAAAGCTCCAGGCTAGGACTGGGAATAACTGCCTCCCGTTAGCAATGAGTAGAAGGTGGAGGCCACACCTCCTGATCCAAAAACACATAGAGCAAAGAGGAGACAGGGACAATGCTGGATTACTTGCGAGGAAGCAACCTTGCATCTCATAAAGGGCTGCACTGGCGATTGGAAGGAGTTAATGGGTAAGAAGTTAAAGAACAAGAAGCAATATTTTATTCTATGGGTATGGTGAAAATAAGGACAGTAAGCAAGGCAAAAAGAGGCATGGTGTGGTGTAGTGACTGGAGTTATGGAAACTATTTAATTAGATTTCTTGTTTTTAAGTTTCTACCTTTACATTCCTTTCCTTACTACTACTTTCTCTTTTTCTGCACTTTGCATAATATTACTTATTCTAAAAGAGAATAACACAATTGGTGAACAAACAAATGAATGAGCTCTTATAAATATAATCATCTTAGGGAATGCTTTAGTGAGATTAGTGACTCATTGTGAAAACTCTTCTAATAAGAATTTGTGTGTACAATTTTCTCCCCATCAATTGTTAAGTTTGTGAAATGGTATGTCACTAAGGAGTAAAGATGTATGTTCACAAAGATCCCCTATATAAATTGTGTTCTAAAGAATTAATCTGATTTAATTTTGTATTCTCTTTCCTAGAGTTAATGGGCAAACTGATCAGCCTCAAGAAGGATGCAAGAAATGGGTCTTCAGACAGCGTCAATATCAGTAATTCTTTGTGTGAATCTTCTTATTTGCCATTTCAAAACAAGGAAGAAACAAAAGAAGCTAAGACTGATCTCAAAACTACACTTCAAATTAAGTCAATGAATGTTGTTCCTCTTCCACCAATAGAACAAAAAGGAAAGAAGACTGTGAAAATTGAGGAGAAAGACTTTGACAGAACAGCTATGAATAAGAAAATTGGGAATGATGCAGGATTGCTTCAGACCACCAGGTCAGTGTCTACTAATATCTATGTGCAAGACAATCAACACAGACCTGCATCTCTGTTTTTTCGCTGCATGCATTATGCTATACATTTCTTCATCTACTTTCTCAGTATTGCATGCAGTGTGCTACCCCAACTCCATTTGCCTAGTCTGAAACTCTCAACATTCTTTAAAAAGGCAAAATAATAGAAAATGGAAAGAACTCATGGACTTCATATCCTTACTGTTTTAAACCTTTTTTCTTTAAAAAAAATCACCTTAATGTAGTGCCCATGTTAGATTAGCTATTGTACCATCCTGTCATTTCAAAGTTAATGTGTATTCTAATTCAGGATGGAAATCTGACCCACAGCTTTTTCATATTGACTCGATAATGTTAACCTTTAGAGATTTTTTTCTGTATGAATGAATGAATGATACATTAAGACTGTAAAATATATGTAATATGTGAAAGTAGAGATGCGATTAAAGCAGTGGTGGAACATGATAGCTATCTGAATGTCTGGATGTATAACCTGGTAATGAGAGCTTTTGTATGAATTGACAAGGCATTTAAGATTTCTTTATGGCTCTAAAATGCTTTCAGAAGAGATACTCTGGAAAACATTTGGGCAATAACAAGCAGCTTCTTTTGACCTATTGTGCCTCTTTCCAGATCCACATAATTATGTGTAGCTGTTCTATGAGTTTGAAATCATGTGAATTTGGGAAGAGGCTAGGCTGCTTTAAAGGCTTGTAGAAAGGTATTTCATATATGTTTCTTGCATTCTAAAGCACTTATAAGGATTTGTATTACTCAGCTACTACCGTGTTACCCCGAAAGTAAGGCCTTCCCCGAAAATAAGCCCTAGTTTTGTGGCAAGGCACACACCTAAAAATCAAGCTGGGGTGGGGATGTGGATTTGCCCCACACGCCCTGTCTCTCCTCACCTGCCCACTTCTTCTGAGGCGTCTTCTGCAGCCAGGCCTGCATTTCTCAGTCACAGGCCTTTCCGGAAAGCCTATGCAGCCAAGACCTATGCAGCTGTGGACCGAGCTATGGACTGAATCCATAGCTTGGTACTCGGCTACATAGGCCTTCGTGAAAGGCCTGACTGCAAAATGCAGACCAGAATGCAGCTGCAGAATGAAACTTCTCCTTTGGCCCCAGAAAAAGTGGACCTGCTGGGCAGGGCTGTCTGTGCCCAAAGTGAGTAAGACACACACCCCCCCCCCCCAAATAAGACCTGGTGCTTCCTGGAGGCAAAAAAAAGAAAAAAAAAGACCTGGTCTTATTTTTCAGGGAAACACGGTATGAGCAATTAAGCATATATTCATATGCTCTACTTCAGATTAGCATCATACCCTCGTAATCATGCAATAGCTTACTGGACAATGAGCTTTCATAGGTTCTGCCTCTGTTGTGATATATTTGAAAATACTTTGGAGGATTCTGCAGTGTGAACGCAAGAGCTTCATTGTAGTTACTCATTGGTTGCCAGTTACCATTGGCTAGCATTTTCATTTTGTCCTAACTCCTTGGCTCATTCCCTATATTGTTGAGATGGCAATACAGTGGTGTTATGTTACCTTTTTGCTGTGTGGTTGTCTTTAAATCTGGTCCTAATAATCAGACTGCTTGCTTTGATGTCATCAAGGAAATGGAGGATGCTAATATTGGCCAGCTAGACTGTCTTTTTATTTTATTTGACTTTTTAAATTTTAAAATTTAAGTGAAGGTGGGTAGGAGTGAGAAAAACTGCAAGGTTTTTAAAAATATGTGAGCAGAATAACATCATTCCCAGCATCTTTGGAGATGTTATTGCCAACCTAGCAATGGAATTCAGCAACTCAGGCAGGAAAACTGCTGAGAAGCAGGAAGGGTAAAAAAAAAACAAAAAAAACCCCAGAAGCAATCCCTACTCTTCCTGTAAACCCAATTTCAACCAAAGCACCTCATAGCTGAAGACAAATACTGTAGGTATAGACAGCAGCACAAAATAAACTTGTTGATCAATTGTTCTGTCACTTGTAAACCTTTTTATTTTTAGGTACTTTTTATTAAATATTTTTAAAAGAATAAAACAATTCCAATTTTGAAAGAGAAGAGTAAGGGAAGTAAACTAATAAGTACAAGAAGTACAAAGGAAAAAATAGAGAAGAGAAAGAAAAAAAAGACAGATGATGTTATAAACAAATGGCCTCCAATCTTAACAGCAATTACAAATACATTTATATTTTACCCTCTCTTTCTAAGACTGCAACATAATTTCCTTTTTTCCATTCTCTATCCTTTCTAATCATCAAATCCCTAAAGCACAAGTTCATTTTCTTTTATTTTTCAGCAAAAAGTCCATAAGAGGCTTCCAGTTAGTAATAAATCAGACAAGTCAATTTTGCCATCTCTGCTAATTCTGTCACCTTTACCATTTATTCCTCCATCATGGGTATTTCCGAATCCTTCCATTTTTAGTATATAATCTTGCAGCGGTTATATATAAAAACAGCCTGCCAGAGCTCTTTTCTAGTTGTCTATCCATTTGTCCCAACAAGATTTCTGCTTTCAATTGAATTACTCTTTAAAGTTATTTGTATCACTTTAACATATTTGAAGCCAACATTTTCTAGCTTTTGTGCAGCCATGATAAAATGACCTTTCCTGTTTTCCACATTTCCAACATAAATTTGCAGTATCTTTATACATTTTAGATAATTTTTGGGGAGTCGTGTGCCAGTGGCACATTATTTTATAATGTCACTTAAATTATAATGTAACTTTCAGTTCTTTCAGTTACATATTTTCCCATTGTTCTATCTATATATTGATAGAACCAGTTTGGTCTAATGGTTACGGCTTTAGGCCAGAAAGTGAGCTCAGGTGAGTTCATGAAAGCCAGCTGGGTGACCTTTGGCCAATCACTCTCTCTCAGCCCAATCCACAGGGTTGCTTTGGGGAAAATAGAAGGAAGGTGTGTTGGATACGTTCATCACCTTGAGTTATTTATGAAAATAATAAAGGCAGGATATAAATAAAGGAATAAATAAAATAATAAATATTGTCAAAAGTTCTTTGCTCACTTTATCATACTCTTCTACTTAATAATAATAATAATAGTAGTAGTAAAGTTGGAAGGGACCTTGGAGGTCATCTAGTCCAACCCCCTGCTCGGGCAGGAAACCCTACACCATTTCAAACAAATGGCTTTCTAGTCTCTTCTTAAAAACTTCCAGTGTTGGAGCATTTACTGCTTCTGGAGGCAAGCTGTTCCACTGATTAATTGTTCTCACTGTCAGGAAGTTTCTCCTTAGTTCTAGGTTGCTTCTCTCCTTGATTAGTTTCCACCCGTTGCTTCTTGTCCTGCCTTCAGGTGCTTTGGAAAATAGCTTAATTCCCTCTTCTTTATGGCAGCCCCTGAGATATTGGAACACTGCTATCATGTCCCCCCTTGTCCTTCTCTTCGTTAAACTTGTTCTTGTTCTTCCATTTAAAATTTCAATGAAAGTTATACACTTTAGTAATTAAATATTCATCTTTTGTACATAGTTTGATTTCAAATGCTATCTTGTGCTGCTAAATTCCAAATGTAATATTATCTACTTTAAACATTAACTCTGTATACAAAAACCATTGAAAACCAAACCTCTCGGTAGTCAATTTATCTCTTAATTTCATCTTACAATTGTTTTGTCACTTCTAAACTTTACTGAATGGAATTCCCTTTACTAGCATTGTCTATCAGTAGTTGGTTCTTTGAGTTATTTTAAGGTCATATTGTGTCATCACTGATGCCATCTAGTAATATAGTTTTTTTTTTCCCCTATCTCTTTTGCACTTTCCAGGTGCCAGGATATTGTCCAATGGCTATAGATTTTACTTTATGTGACCAAAATATTTAAACTAGCTTTGTTATTTGTGCTACCCTATCTATAAATGAACTATTTGTTCTTTCAATCTAAAGTACTCGTAGCAATTTTCTCCAACGCTACCATTGAAAGGCATTGATTTTTCTTCAGCATTTCTAGTGTTCAAGTTTTCAGAGCTATTTGTGACAACTGGGAAAATAATAGTCTTGACAATATATACCCTTGTTGCCATCATATCTCTGCACCTCAGTATTTTGTATAAAGTTGTCTTAGATTTTCTTTCAAGTAATAGGCATTTTTGTTTCACTAAGTCTCTGTATCTGAATGCTTGAATCTGAAAACATGAAGATTTCAACAGCTTATCCATCCATTTATGTATGTTGGCATTGCCTTTTAATATATTCTATTTTTTAATAAATGATAGCAGAAACTGTTTTGTACTAACTTCTTTCACTTGTAACAAGAAAATACTTGATTTTTCGTTCTTCCAGCCACAACCATTTCTGTGGCTGTTGATGTTTCTTCCAACACTTTGAATTCTACTTTTAGCCTATCAGTTCTCTGAATATATGTTAAAGAAGGTAGCACTGTGCAAAATTAATTTTGAACAATGTAAATTACACCATATTTTACTAACTGTTGCTCATTAGTAATCATGCAAGTTAAGCAGTAAGCAGAAGAGCTGGCCTGGGCAAACCTATCTTATTAAGGACTATCCTCAATTTGTTGTGGTCTACACAGTCAAAAGTTTTGGGGTAATCCGTAAAGCAAAGTTTTTACATTTCTTGCTGATAACTTAGCTCTTTCCATGATCTATTGGACGTTAGTAATGTGATCTTGGGTGCCTCTGCTTTTTTTGAATCTAGCTTACACATCCAACACTTCCTTTTCATGTGTTGTTGAAGGCTAGATTGTGAAATCTTAACTCTCCCCTCCCAGCACTTGAGACAAATGCAGTTGTGAGGTTATCTGAGCATTCTTTAGAAGTGTTTGTTTTTTGGAATATAAATCGATATTTTCCAATCCCTTGGCTACTGCTGAATTTTCCACATCTATCTATCTATCTATCTGTCTGTCTGTCTGTCTGTCTGTCTGTCTGTCTGTCTGTCTATCTATCTATCTATCTGTCTATCTATCTTAAGAAATAAAAGTTTAATTCCAT